AAGCCGAACCACAAAGCTTCCATCTTGGGTTCTGCTTGTACTGTTCATAGCGCGTACAATGTTATGCCGAAGCGCACATTGTGCGAGTACCTGCAAATGCTTCAAGCGAAAATTGCGAAAGCAAACAAACACACGAACATACCATTCACGCGCAAATGCATTCGCACACGCATACTCGTACAAAGAGACGGCAGGATGTCGTGCAATGTGAATTTGCACCCAACAGGAAGTCCTCCTCTAGAATCTTTGTCCGCACCCACTCGAGTGTCCACGAGCTCTGGTTCTGCGATAGGCTCAATCCGCTCGTGAATTGAAGCCACGATTCCGGCAGCAGCGAAAGCATCCTCAGGCACTTGGTCTGCTCCGGCTAGGTGATTCCCGCGGTCGCCAACTTTGCGTAGAGGTCGCGCAATTTGTCCAGGACAGGTTGCACCGGCTCTCCCTCGCTCAGGCGCAACGCGGACAGCTCCCTCTCCAGCATCAATGTTGCAACAACGGAGGTCGAGGCGTGCAGCTCCTTCAACACCGTCCACGCCTTCGGACCGCACTCAACCTCCGGCACCAGGTGCATCACGTGGTGATGCTGGTTCAGCTCTTAACTCTGCGACATCAAATAGTAGCCAGCCGAGGAGCGCTCGTCCCAATCTTCCTGCAGCGTGGGGTCACTCGGTCTAGGCTCCTCCCCAATCATTAGTTTCAGCAATCCGATCAGACGGAAATAAAGTTGCATTTTCCAGGCCCAATCATCATAGCCCTCACCATTGAACTTCTCGACGGTGAAGTTTTTCAGCACCTCCTTGATCAGCGAGCCCTGGCTTGTTCGCGCTCCCCTTGGCGCAGAAACACCAGAATCATGGCTGCCGCTACAATCTTGGGCTGAAGATTCACCAGCTACCGCCGAGGTGTTGCCCGCCATAGCTACCTATATCGAGGATCACTATAATGCAGCTCTGATACCAGCTTGTTGGTGTAAGAGCCTAATATACTCAAGCTATTAAGACTTTATCAAACTTAAAACCTCTCCTCGGGGTCACCTCCAAGGGTCCTTGGGTGCCTGGTACAAGACCAGCCCTTATCCTCGAGTCCGAGTTTGTAGAGAGAGGGATCAAGAGGGACTAAGTCAAAACAGCAAGAGTACCTTGAACGTCGCGCAGCGTATCGTGCAGACCGTCGATCGGATTAAGCTGAGAATTTCCTATATCGAAGCTTACTCTAAGAGCTTTAAAATAAGCGAAGTTATGGCTCGGTCAGCGTAAGCCTAGCGTTGGAGTGCTAGCGTACTAGCGTTGACTCGGGTAGCATTCCGCCGTCGCACCGCGTAGAAACAAAATTCCAGCAAGGAAGGAATTTGCTTGAATCAATTTCACTATGTTCAGGTACAAACAGAGAAGGAATAAATAGCTCTAGCTAGCAAGGACCTTGGGAATCAACCTGGGAACAACCAGGGATGATCCCAAATAATTCCAAGCAACAGAACCAACCTGGCTGGACAAAATAGCAGGTGGTAGGTTGGTGAAGAACCTCTGGTTCTGTTTTTCCAACCTAGGAAAACAACAACCAGGTTCAGGTCCTAAAAACAGAACCTGTTTTGTCTTTCCCCAATCAGCCAAATGCTGGTTCCGATGGTTTCCCCTGGCCCTCTAGCATGCAGATACAGACAAACAACATCCAACCTTCACCTAAATTGTACCCCTATACTGCCTGCCCTGCTACACTATAGTCAACCAAACAAAACGGTACAATTTCGAGTTGGATAGAACTGAATCTGCGCAATCAAGTAAGCTGAACCTCAAAACTTCCATCTTGGGTTCCTTTGCGAGCTCGTCCTTTCTGCTTGTACTGTTCATAGCGCGTACAATGTTATGCCGAAGCGCACATTGTGCGAGTACCTGCAAATGCAAGCCAAAATTGCGAAAGCAAACAAACACACGAACATACCATTCACGCGCAAATGCATTCGCGCACGCATACTCGTATAAACAGACGACAGGATGTCGTGCAATGTGAATTTGCACCCAACACAAACAACATCCAACCTTTACCTAAATTGTACCTCTAAAGTGCCTGCCCTGCTACATTATAGTCTACCAAACAAAACAGTACAATTTCGAGTTGCATAGAACGGAATCTGCACAATCAATTCAACCGAACCGCAAAGCTTCTATCTTGGGTTCCTTTGTGAGCTCGTCCTTTCAGTTTGTACTGTAGTTAGCTTACAATGTTGTTCCGAAGCGCACAATGCGCGAGTACCTGCAAATGCTTCAAGCGAAAATTGCGAAAGCAAACAAACATACGAACGTTCCATTCACACCCAAATGCATTCGCACACGCATACTTGTACAAACAGACGGCAGGATGTCGTGCAATATGCATTCGCACCCAACAAAGTGTTGGGTGCAAATTCACATTGCACGACATCTTGCCGCTGTTTGAACGAGTATGCGTGTGCGAATGCGTTTGCGTGTGAATGGTATGTTTGTGTGTTTGTTTGCTTTCGCAATTTTCGCTTGAAGCATTTGCAGGTACTCGCAAAATGTGCGCTTCGGCATAACATTGTACGCGCTATGATCAGTACAAGCAGAAAGGACGAGCTTGCAAAGGAACCCAAGATGGAAGCTTTGCGGTTCAACTTACTTGATTGCGCAGATTCAGTTCTATCCAACTCGAAATTGTACTGTTTTGTTTGGTTGACTATAGTGTAGCAGGGCAGGCACTATAGGGGTACAATTTAGGTGAAGGTTGGATGTTGTTTGTCTGTATCTGCATGCTACAGGGCCAGGGGAAACCAGCGGAACCAGCATTTGGCTGGTTGGGCAAAGACAAAACAGGTTCTGTTTTTAGGACCTGAACCTGGTTGTTGTTTCCCCAGGTTGGAAAAACAGAACCAGAGGTTGTTCACCAACCTATCACCTGCTATTTTGTCCAGCCAGGTTGGTTCTGTTGCTTGGAATTATTTGGGATCATCCCTGGTTGTTCCCAGGTTGATTCCCAAGGTCCTTGCTAGCTAGAGCTATTTATTCCTTCTCTGTTTGTACCTGAATATAGTGAAATTGATTCAGGCGAATTCCTTCCTTGCTGGAATTTCTTTTCTACGCGGTGCGACGGCGGAATGCTACCCGAGTCAACGCTAGTACGCTAGCACTCCAACGCTAGGCTAACGCTGTCCGAGCCATAACTTCGTAATGGCAGAACTTTCGCGAGGCAACTTGGCTTATTTTAAAGCTCTTAGAGTGAGCTTCGATATAGGAAATTCTCAGCTTAATCCGATCGACGGTCTGCACGATACGCTGCGCGACGTTCAAGGTACTCTTGTTGTTTTGACTAAGTCCCTCTTGATCCCTCTCTCTACAAACTCGGACCCGAGGATAGAGGCTGGTCTTGCACCAGGCACCCAAGGACCCTTGGAGGTGACCCCGAGGAGAGGTTTTAAGTGTGATAAAGTCTTAATAGCTTGAGTTTATTAGGCCGTTACACCAACACAAAGTGGGCCTCCTCCGACTCAGGGAGGAGGCTGCTAAGGGCGATGCAGGCCAAAGCATCACGCGAGTTCTACGCTGTCAGGTCAGCATGCTGGCGTGTATAACGGTCTCTGTTTGCAGTGCTGGCGTCAGCGCCTAAGGGTGCAGGGTCGGAGGGTGCAGGAAGGTCATTGGAAGCGTGCGCCCATAGAGACTTGTCTGCATGAAGCTGACTCTCTAGGAGGCGGTGCACACGCAGGTGCCAGACCGAGAACTCGAGCGGCCTACCCTCGACATCAAAGCGAAGGACCGTAGGGGTCGCCATAGCGGAAGCGAAGAGGTGGGAACTACTTTAGCCAAAACCCTAAATGCCTAAAGGGCCTGCAAAGGGCGTAACAGGCAGTGCGTGAGGCTCAGGGGACTGTAGGACGGTAGGGTAGGGCGCGACGCGGCGCTGCATGGCAGGCAGGACGGGACGGGACTCGGCACGGCTCAGCGCTGCGCGGGACAAGACGGGACGCCTCGCCGAGTTGGGCGGGGAGGGAGTGCGGCCCATCCCGATGGGATGGGCAGGGGGGGGGGGGAGGGATTGTTAACGGGAATGGAGTGTTAGCCCCTCCCTTGCTTGGGCAATGCCGACAACTTGGTCGGATGTACGGGTGAAGCAGCCAACCGTTCGCAGTGAAGGAGCTGCTCGACGGCGCCTCGTCAAGCTGCAGGGTTTTACTGTGGTGTTGCCGTCGACCAGGAGTGCTCGACGGCCTTCTTCTGCGGGGCAGGTCGACGAGGTGGCTGTCGACCTGCACAGGACTGTCACGGGGCTGGAGCCGTCGACGAGGGAGCTTGACAGCTGCAGCTGACTGGTTTGGGCGACGGGTGGGCCGTCGACTAGGAGGGGCAGTTTGACCGGGAGGCCGACGGAGCAGTCTGCCGACCTGACAAGTGAGCAGGGGTCAGCGAGGGGAGCTCGGCGACAACACCTGACAGTTCCGGTCGACGGAAGGGGTCCGTTGACCAGGGGGTAGCTCGACAGGAGCTGTGGTCGACCAGAGGCACCTGGTGGTCAATCGGGCAACCTGCTCAACGAGTTCTGCGGAGGCATGCAAACATCGTCGAGGTTGCAATGGTGAAGGCGACTTTTGGCTGGTATCCGGAGTCGATGTGGCTCGTCAGGTGCAGACAACAGCCGACGGATGCACATCAATGCAAGTCGGGCCAATTGTCTGCGTGCACATGCGATCATGCGCATTGCTGTCTTCTACGAGGCAACGCTGGACAGCTGCTCTGCTGCACCGTTAACACGCCGTCGAACTGCATTGTTGGCAGGTCGCATTTATGCAGTGCTTGCGCGGCTCGTCTATGCAACGCTGGCAGGCGGACGACCAAGCTGTGCTGGCGGTCGATCAGGCTAGCTGCAGAGTTGCTAGGTGCCTTATGCAGTCATTGTTGTCATTGCTTGTTGTCATTGGTGCTTATGCAGTGAAACTTTTGCAGATTTCTCTCGTGTATGCGCAAGCACTAAGGAACTAAGCAAAGCTACGATCACTTTTCCACGTTCAGGTCCACGTCTACGTCCAGGTCCACGTCCACGTCCAGGTCCACGTCCACGTTCAGGTCCACGTCCAGGTCCACGTCCACGTCCACGTCCAGGTCCTCGTCCAGGTCCACGTCCACGTCCACGTCCAAGTCCACGTCCATGTCCACGTCCACGTCCACGTCCACGTCTACGAACCCCCTTAGTCTAGCTAACTACCGTTGTAGAGTGACTATCCGCAGGGAGGACGTGAGGCGATGGGGAAAGCGGGCACGACTCGACCAGCAGACGCATCGGGCGCTAGGGAATGGTACAAGCATGACCAATACTAGGGTACGGGACAGGCTCAGGCGTTACGGGCGTGAGCGGGATGAATAGGAATCCCACAGGATCCGAACCTAGGTGATACCATGTCAAGAACAGAATGATGGTTTGACTATCTTTGGTTTGGTTACATAAGCCTAACCCTAACTGCTGTACCCCATATGACACACATCACTAACGGCTATAACATTTGATAAGCTGATCCTGCATAAAAAATATTTTATAAAACGTCTGGTGCGAAGCGGAAATTGTTGTCGAAATTGGGCAAATATGACGTAACCATTCACATTTTGCTTGGCGTGACCCGAAATCAATTCTGATTCAACTGTTTGTGTTATTTTGAATTGGATCTTGGATAAAAAGGGATTATTAACATAAATTCCTTACACTGAATGTGGTATTCGTATTTGCATAGTAACATGGATATGTGTAGATTTCATAGCAAGAGTAGATTACACCTGAAAATGGACCATGCAGTTTCAACGCGGTTTTGCGTTGACAGTACGAATCTGCTGTGACTCGTGCAGTCTGAACCGAATCACCAGTCAAGAACGCAAGCAGAAAACGGAAAAGAAAATTAACAACCATCTTCCATGATTAGTCAAACAATCGTTCCAAAAAATCTAGCGAGGACCCTGGTGCAAAGATACATTGAATCGTAATCGGTACGCGTTTGTACTATGAATGATCAAAGTACACTCCCGCAAATCTTTGAGATTTCAAAGTTAGCCTTCAAAAAACAAATTGAAAATTACAGAGTTGAGGCCCTAAAGAGTCTGATTTTTTTAGAGCATACTGGAAAAAAAATCTGAAATATCAGAGTTTTTCATGCAAATCAGAGAAATTTCTCTGACTTCTGGGGGCCAACTACTAGACCTACATTAACTACTACACAACCCCCTCAGTTTTGTTTTGGGGCTGTCTGATTTGTCAGACATAGTACCGGTACAAGTTTAAACCTGACAAATCCTCAGGCTCCGCAGGCTGTCTCTTCCATATCATCGGAAGAGATGGAGATCTTAAGATAGGCATAGATATAAGCATATAAGTTTTGACAGGAGATAACGGATGCTGCGGATTTTGAAAGAGCCTACCAAGCAGGAATTAAAGACGTGAATTTGCGGCAGAATTAGGGACTGGCTGGGGCCAATTTGTTGAACTTCGGGGTGTTGATGAAACCCTAGCTCAATGACAATGGCCCTATAACCCAACACGGGCCATCCTTGAGTTGGGTGGTCGCCTAGCACGCACGGGAACGACGGGGCGCGTCTGCCGCGCACTGCTGTCGGTAGTATTTCTGTCGGTGCAAATTCACGTTGCACGACATCCTGCCGTCTGATTGTACGAGTATGCGTCTGCGAATGCATTTGGGTGTGAATGGAATTTTCGTGTGTTTGTTTGCTTTTGCAATTTTCGCTTGAAGCATTTGCAGGTACTCGCGCATTGTGCACTTCGGCACAACATTGTACGCGCTATAAACAGTACAAGCAGAAAGGACGAGCTCGCAAAGGCACCCAAGATGGAAGCTTTGCGATTCGGTTGAATTGATTGCGCAGATTTAGTTCTATCCAACTCGAAATTGTACTGTTTTGTTTGGTTGACTATGGTGTAGCAGGGCAGGCACTATAGGGGTACAATTTAGGTGAAGTTTAGATATTGTTTGTCTGTATCTGCATAGTACAGGGCCAGGGCAAACCAGCGGAACCAACATTTGGCTGGTTGGGCAAAGACGAAAAAGGTTCTGTTTTTAGGACCTTAACGTGGTTGTTGTTTCCGACGTTGGAAAAACAGAACCAGAGGTTGTTTACCAACCTACCACCTGCTGTTTTGTCCAGCCAGGTTGGTTCTGTAGCTAGGAAATATTTGGGATCATCCCTGGTTGTTCCCAGGTTTATTTCCAACGTCCTTGCTAGCTACAACTATTTATTCCTTCTCTGTTTGTACCTGGATATAATCAATTTGATTCAATTCAATTCCTCCCTTCCTGGAATTACGTTTCTACGCAGAGCGACGGCGGAATGCTACCCGAGTCAACGCTAGTACGCTAGCTCTCCAACGCTAGGCAAACGCTGTCCGAGCCATAACTTCATAATGGCTGAAGTTTTCGTGACGCAACTTGGTTCATTTTAAAGCTCTTGGAGCCAGCTTCGATATAGGAAATTCTCAGCTTAATCCGATCGAAGCTCGCTCCAAGAGCTTTAAAATAAGCCAAGTTGCCTCGCGCAAAGTTGTGCCATTACGAAGTTATGGCTCGGACAGCGTTTGCCTAGCGTTGCAGTGCTAGCGTACTAGCGTTGACACGGGTAGCATTCCACCGTGGCACCGCGTAGAAACGAAATTCCAGGAAGGGAGGAATTCGCTTGAATCAAATTGACTATATTCAGGTACAAACAGAGAAGGAATATATAGTTCTAGCTAGCAAGGACCTTTGGAATAAACCTGGGAACAACTAGGGATGATCCCAAATAATTCCAAGCAACAGAACCAACCTGGCTGGACAAAACTGTTGGTGTAAGGGCCTAATAAACTCAAGCTATTAAGACTTTATCACACTTAAAAACCTCTCCTCGGGGTCACCTCCAAGGGTCCTTGGGTGCCTGGTACAAGACCAGCCCCTATCCTCGGGTCCGAGTTTGTAGAGAGAGGGATCAAGAGGGACTAAGTCAAAACAGCAAGAGTACCTTGAACGTCGCGCAGCATATCGTGCAGACCGTCGATCGGATTAAGCTGAGAATTTACTATATCGAAGCTCACTCTAAGAGCTTTAAAATAAGCCAAGTTGCCTCGCGAAAAGTTTTGCCATTAGGAAGTTATGGCTCGGACAGCGTTAGCCTAGTGTTGGAGTGCTAGCGTACTAGCGTTGACTCGGGTAGCATTCCGCCGTCGCACCGTGTAGAAACGAAATTCCAGGAAGGGAGGAATTCGCTTGAATCAATTTCACTATATTCAGGTACAAACAGAGAAGGAATAAATAGCTCTAGCTAGCAAGGACCTTGGGAATCAACCTGGGAACAACCAGGGATGATCCCAAATAATTCCAAGCAACAGAACCAACCTGGCTGGACAAAATAGCAGGTGGTAGGTTGGTGAACAACCTCTGGTTCTGTTTTTCCAACCTGGGAAAACAACAACCAGGTTCAGGTCCTAAAAACAGAACCTGTTTTGTCTTTGCCCAACCAGCCAAATGCTGGTTCCGCTGGTTTCCCCTGGCCCTGTAGCATGCAGATACAGACAAACAGCATCCAATCTTCACCTAAATTGTACCCCTATAGTGCCTGCCCTGCTACACTATAGTCAACCAAACAAAACAGTACAATTTCGAGTTGGATAGAACTGAATCTGCGCAATCAAGTAAGCCGAACCGCAAAGCTTCCATCTTGGGTTCCTTTGCGAGCTCGTCCTTTCTGCTTGTACTGTTCATAGCGCGTACAATGTTATGCCGAAGCGCATATTATGCGAGTACCTGCACATGCTTCAAGCGAAAATTGCGAAAGCAAACAAACACACGAACATACCATTCACACGCAACTGCATTCGCACACGCACACTCGTACAAACAGACGGCAGGATGTCGTGCAATGTGAATTTGCACCCAACACAACCTTTGTGAGTACCCTGTTCCTAGCGACGGTAGCGTGCCGAACAGCATGGGGCCACATCAAGTTGCCCAGCCAAGATTCTATGAGCAGCGCCCTAGCTGTCTCCAGAATTGTCCGGTTCGCCTGTTCTGCTAGACCGTTGGACTGTGGGGTGTAAGCCGTGGTCAGCTCCTTCTGGATGCCCTGCTTCTTGAGCCAGGCCGTCATCTTAGCTCCAAGGAACTCACCACCCCGATCTGTCCTAATCCGCTTCACCATATACTCCGATTGGTTCTCCACTAACGGCAGCCAATCCTCTCGAATCGTGGAGGCAGCGTGATCTTTCTGCTTCAGCGGATACGCCCACATTAGCCTGCTCCAGTCATCCATAATGGTTAGGAAGTACCGCTCCCCCTTGTGCCCTTGCACCGGCAGCGGACCCACCAAGTCCATGTGGACCAGCTCCAACGGCTTTGTGCTTCTGCCAGCCACACTATGGAAGGGGAAACGTGTGAACTTTGAAAGGAGGCAAATTTCACAGTTATCATCGGGTGGTTGTCCATTCAGCTTCAAGCACTTAACAGCTCCATCCTTCTCCAGTTGCTTCAGCAAAGGCATTGCCACATGCCCCAAACGTCGGTGTGCTGTTGCCCAATCTGTCTCCCCAGATCTGGCTGACACTTTCACACCAACCCCTCCAACGGCGTTGCACTCCCCCTGGGATGCAGACCCCTCTCCAGCCTGCCCCCCACCGTGCCACGCCAGCGCCGGCAGCTGCGACATAGATCTGTACACGTCCTTGCTCTCGTGCAGATCCCAAAGCACCCGATTGCCCAGCTTCCCCTTATAAGTGCGAGCCCCATCTGTGTTGGTGTTCACCCCAGCCTTGCCAAGCTTACGGAGGGAGATAAGGTTGGCCTTCAGGTCGGGGACGAGGAGAACGTCGTGCAGCACCACCGGCTTGCCATCTGCTCCCTTAAATGCAGCTCGTCCCGCACCAGCCACCTTCAACATGTGTCAAGAGGCAGAGCACACCTCATTAATCGGTGCAGCGCGTACGTCGTCCAGCAGGTCCTTGCGCGGCGTCATTGTCCAAGCAGGGCCTGTGTCCAACACCCAATAGTCCAAGGGGTGCAGCTTTGCTCCAACCTTAGCAGATGCGTTTCCTTGCTCCCCCTTGTCTCCCACATGGAAGAATTGGCCCGCGGTGCGCTCCTTCTTCTTCTCCGCACCGCTGTTGCCCTTCGAGTTGTTGTCGGACGAATCAGCGACCATGTTGGCGCCGTTTTTCTGGTTCCTCCGCGCGCCGCTATCCTGGTGACGATTCTGGGGGGTCCATCCATCGGGTTTCTTATAGCACAAAAACCAGGGGTGCCCTTCCTTCTCACAATACCAGCAACTCCCTTTCATTTTGCCACCAGCACCCGACTTGCCCCCACGTCCAGATTTCGCACCGCGACCCCAACCGGTACCTCCTTGTTGGTCGTTGGAGTCGTCGTCTTTTTTTGCACCGCGTCCAGCACCACCGAAGCCACGTCCCCTGCCACGTCGGCTCCCTTGCATCCCGTAGCCGCTGCTGCCGTCGTCTCCACCCCTCAGTTGGCGGCGATGGAAGTCCTCCTCAAGAATCTTCATCCGCACCCACTCGAGCGTCCACAAGCTCAAATTCTGCGGCAGGCTCAATCCGCTCGTGAATTGAAGCCACGATTCCGGCAGCAGCGAGAGCATCTTCAGGCACTTGGTCTGCTCCGGGTAGGTGATTCCCGCGATCGCCAGCTTCGCGTAGAGATCACGCATCTTGTGGAGGATGGGTTGCACCGGCTCTTCCTCGCTTAGGCGCAACGCGGACAGCTCCCTCTCCATCATGAGCGTCGCAGCGACGGAGGTAGGGGCGTGACGTGGTGACGCTGGTTCAGCTCCGGCAGTCAACCTCCGGCAGCAGGTGCATGACGTGGTGACGCTGGTTCAGCTCCAAACTCTGCGACATCAAATAGTAGCCAGCCGAGGCGCGCTCCTCCCAATCTTCCTGAAGGGCGGGGTGTTTCGGTCTAGGCTCCTCCCCAATCATTAGTTTCAGCAAACCGATCTGACGGAAATAAAGTTGCATTTTCCAGGCCCAATCATCATAGCCCTCACCATTGAACTTCTCGACGGTGAAGTTTTTCAGCACCTCCTTGATCAGCGAGCCCTGGCTTGTTCGCGCTCCCCTTGGCGCAGAAACACCAGAATCTTGGCTGCCGCTCAATCTTGGGCTGAAGATTCATCTGCTACCGCAGAGGTGTTCCCCGCGATAGCTACCTATAAGGAGGATCACTATAACACAGCTCTGATACCAGCTTGTTGGTATAAGGGCCTAATAAACTCAAGCTATTAAGACTTTATCAAACTTAAAACCTCTCCTCGGGGTCAGCTCCAAGGGTCCTTGGGTGCCTGGTACAAGACCAGCCCCTATCC